TTTAAGGTGGACTCACTCTGAAGACCAACGAAACAATTAGTGAAATGAATAAGAGAAAAACAATTAAAGCCTTGACAGAAATCTCTAATTTTGAATGAGCTGTTGGTGAATACTTATAAAATACCTCAGCCGCGTTTGCATCCGGCGAAGAAATTCCGTGATCGCGTTGGACAGCATTTGGAAAGTCTAGAAAAAAAGAATTCAACTGCGTTTCAAAACACTTATTTGCGTGAACTGTGAAGGTCGTAGGTTGGGAATGCAATTGGCTCTCTTTTTAATTTCGATCAAGAACACCCCATCCTACCTTACTTCACACAATGCCTGCAAAAATTTTGAAATTGCACGGAGGTTGTCACGATGAACAGGCTCGAATGCGGGAGAGCTTCGCTTCCAGATAATGTTTTAAAAAGATAAAATGAAAACAAAAGTGAAAACAGATATAGAAAATAGGCAAATGCCTTGGAAAAATTCAGTGTTTCTATATGTTTCTATATGTCTCTATATGTCTCGTCTCAATGTCTCTATGTCTCGATGTCTCCATGTCCCAAACGGTGGAATGTGCTGGTCTTTTGAAAACAATCCTAGGGTTCCAAAATGAAATACAAAGTTGGATCAATACTGTTTGTTGACAATTATGCAAAAACGTTACAAGCTCATTGTCTTCAGAATTTCTTAAAGGCACAACGTAGACTTACTCCATGAGCCTCTGTTTCGCTATTGCCTCACTTGACGGACGCTACAACAGACCTTTCTATAAAGGACCAATATAAAATATCTATTTGTTTTTGTGGCAAAAGGTTTTTCAGTTTTTAAACAGATGAAAGACATCCACGCAGTGGCGTAGCGTCTATGTATGCTACGCTTGCGGCGCAAGCGTAAAAATTTATAGAAAAATTCTAAAATTCTTGCAACACTTTCAATGCATAACAATTTCCGCAATAAACGGCTTCTCTTTCTTGTCATGAGCAGCATGCGGTGAACTCTAGCGCCAACAGGCCAATTGGCCCCAAATTGGCTATTTTCCCAAGTAAACAGATCGCTAAAAATTATGAAATTCGAAAAATCTGAAAAACTGAAGCCTCTCCACATCACTCTTTTTGCCTGTCCAAAATAAGAGAAACATGTGATGCTCCAGTGCAGCTTCAGTGCAACTCGAGAGAAGCTTCTGAGAGAAGTGAGAATTTTCCGGACTGGAGCTTGCGGTCGGCCTGAGCGCAAGCCTTCCCAAATATTTGATAATCCACAATTTTTCTACCTATAAGCTGCTTTTTGCGAATACTCTTTGCGTGATACATCATTTCAAATCCAATTATTTTCCTTTCTTTACTTTGTGACTGTTGAAAAGAGAAAAAGTTTCGTCAAAGTGGTGTCAGAGTCTATTTGTCATGATCCGCATTCCGTAATTCAAGTCAAAAGGCTTGCCAGTATAGTCAGAATTTACGGACCAGGGCATGCGGTAGACCTGAGCGCAAGCCTTGCCAAATACATGATGATTTGCCGGGACTAACTTTCTGAAACTTTACACATGGAAGCATCTTCAATTCTAACAACTCTCACAGCTCACTATTTTCATCTTAGTTAACTATGAGAGTAAAAAATGAGCAGAAACTGTTGCTCCTGTTCGCTTAGGCTCTGCAGTGTGTTAACAATTTCGCAATGTGGAGAGCTCCTTCTTGCAGGAATCCCCAGCTTCATTATAGCATAATAAATTCTTACATTAGGTGGGCATTAGGTGATGCCTTTTCTTGAGGAATATGAATAAGAATAAAATATTTTGCACAGCAGTTTTAGCACTAGGAGTTATTCTGAAAAGTCTTGCTAAACAATTGAGCTTTTTTCAAAAACTTTCGCATGGGTGATAATTTTTCCCTTGGCCCCCCTTCACTTTCCAACCTCTGTCGGAGCCTCTGATGCTAAGAATAGACACCTTGATTGATTAGAATTAGAGTACAAATGATTTGTTACTTTGAAAATCAAAATTTGCTATCACGATTATCATTAATTACCGCTTGTATTTTTTAGAAACTGAAATTACCATTACATTTATTCAACATAGCCGTATATTTTATGTTACCGCGTGCCTAAGTTCTGCGCTCACGCTACGCCACTGCATCCACGAGCCTTCTCTTTAACAACTTTGAAATGTTGTTCCCAGTTCAAACCATCATCTACGATGATTCTAAGTGACTGTCTCTGCTTGACGCGCTTTATTTCTGAGTTGTTTAGTATTAGCGGTTCAAAGACATCAATTTTATTGACTTTTCGGGAATGACCAATCAGCATGTATTCATGTCCTTTGCCCTAAAATCTAAATATTACACATATATCATACTTTCACTTCTAACTGAACATCCATTTGTTAATGCCAAATCTCCCTCCTAATAGTTTTGCAATATTTTCCCAAAATGGCACCCATAATTCTACATTTTTTTTCAAATGGCACCCATAGTTCCGCACATAATCCAAAAACTGTGACCAATAATTCCGCACTTTTCAGAAAAAAGGTAAATAAATAATGGCACGTCCCCGTACCTTCAAACATGTTAAAGTAACCCCGAGTACCGTCCGGTTTTCTCTGATAACTTTTGACTAACTAGATCTATAGGACTGATTTCACTTATAAACATAACAAATACCATAGCTTCGCTGTTTTTTCATATTTTCATAGATAAATAAAAATTCCAAGTAATATGCAAGTCTTCGAAACTTAGACAAAAATGTGCAGTTTGTGAAAACAGCCCTCCGGTTTTCGCAAAAAACAGCCCTCCGGTTTGTCGAAGAAATACACCAAATTTGGCGCAAGTGCCCCTTTTAACGCAAAGATCTTTGGCGTAACATACATGTTTTCCAGTGTGGCCCTGAGAGAGAAACAGTGATTGGCCTTTTTTAATGTTTTACAGCGTTTAAAGTGTCTAAAACTACAACTTTTCTCCACTCTTAACTAAGAGCACAAAATTTATAAAGGAGTTACCAAAAGACTACCTTGGGTACCAGACTCAATATACATAAAATAAAATACTATTATTTTATATAGCGAGTCTGGTACCCAGGGTACCAAAAGACGTACCCCTGGGTACCAGAGCAACATTGATTCGAGCACGGAAATAGAAGTTAGGAGCGTAGAAACTGAGGTACGTCTATCTGATATGAAGGGATGCTCTTATGCTTCTCTGCTCCTATCTTCTATTTCATCGCTCGAAATTTGTGGCTCTGGGGCCCACGGTACAAGAGATGGTGCAATAAATTTAAAATATTTAGTAAAGAGTTTCCAGGCAAAATCAAATTCTAATAGGACAAACGTTTTTCGTCAAATAATTGCTTTTTTCTTCTAGCTGAACTTCGTGGTACAATTTCGCGTGGCAAAAGATTTTCAAATGTTCAATTACACGAACTCTTTTTTGTGTATTTTGGACATTGTATGCCTGCAAGATGTTCTACACGTGCAGATACAAAGACTCAAATGAGAATAATCTTCCTCGTCCAATAGTTTTATAATTGTTGTCAGTTTATGTTTTGGCCCATTTTGAACCAATGATGTCTGTCGAAAGAAACCATATTTTGCCAAAAAAAGACAAAAACTCAACTGGCGAAACAAGTGCTTTCCTACCAAAGAGATAACATAAACAACTTGGGCGATACTGCTGCACGGGAAGCTGTTGAAGGTTTCGTGAACAAAATAATCAGGCTTTCGAGATACAGAAAACTTACGAGTCTCGAAAGGTCTAAACAATTAGCCTTTTAAGCAGTATGCCAAGGCCTAAAATCTAAAGAAGACAATTGTAATTTTAAATATTGATAGGTGTAAGTTTCTAAAGAAAAAGTTAAAAATACATGATTAAAAAAGTATTTCTTTGCATTAGCATTTTAATACGTTTATTTTTACTTTGGTCTAGGGAATGTTTGAGCTTATGAGATATCTCACAGGGGCCTAGTATCATAACCTGTAACCTTTATCACATGGGAACATGCTGGAACATTCTTTTCACATTTCTATGCATGAGGTAGTGTCTTATGAGGGTGAGCTGTTTGCTTTGCCCTTTGAGAAGCAGGGATGCAGAGAATCTTGGAAGAGTCTAGGATTATAAGTTTACTTGGGATGGTCATGATTTAGCAAAGAAAAATGATTTGTATGAACCAAACAAAACCTGGTCGTAAACAAATCGGTTGAATAGTTGTATATCTTTTCATTTGCCATTCCCTGAAAAAAAACTTGCAAAATTTCTGTTGATCGATAGGAAAGGCTCTGTTGCTTCCGAGAAAAAATTATTTTCAATTAGATTGTATAATTTAACAATTTGTAAATCTGTCCTTCTTTGGAGTACTGCTCTCATATTTAAGATGGTGCTCCTAACTCTTCCTTGTGTCTCCTTGAAAAAGTCCAAGCAAAAGCCATTCGCCTCATCAACAACTGCACCCTTACAAAGTCATTTCAGCCCCTTTCCCATCAGCGCTGTGTAGCCGATCTCTCAATCTTTATAGATTTGCCGCGGACATTGCTGTCAGGAGATATGATCCCAGGTTCCAACTTTTTTCCACAACTCATTCTTCCATCCTAGATCTTGTAAACTTTGAAATACTCCATCTTCCTCCTGCTTCCCTGACTCTTATAACTTGTCTCTTATAAAACAAAAATCAACAAGCTTGATCTTTCCTTCCTCTCTTCCATATTCCCCTCTCTTGAATCGATACAAAAGACGCCAGCAGGCTCACACCACCCTTCCCCTCCCTTTCTCAGGGGGAAGGGCTTTCTTTTAGAGAGAAGAGAGGGGTGTGTTGATAACATGGAGTAGAGTCAGGATACGGAGGCTTTCAAATGTAAAGAACATGCGCAATTCAGACTTTAGCTTTAGCGAGAGTCGAAAAGAAACTTAAATCTGAACGAAACTTACTCGAAACGGAACTTAAAGTTTAATTTCGTTGTTATGGACTGAAAAGAATACAAGAGAAAAAAACACAGGTTGCAGCACATCAATAACTCGAGAAAAACAATTAAAACATCATAATCTTCACAGTTTAATATCATATAAAATCTCTAATATTCTATAAAGTATTTCTAATAATCTAATAAACTATTGAGTAAGTTTATATTAATTAGTGCTTAGTTATATCATATTTTATAGACGATATCAATTATTAATCTTTTATAACAATCTTAACGAATATTCTCCTATACAGCGATAAAAATAATTATAAAAAAGATATAAAAATATTTAAGGATGAGTCACTTTGAAGACCAACGAAACAATTACTAAAATGAATAAGAGAGAAACAACTAAAACCTTGAGAAAAATCTCTAATTTTGAATGAGTTGCTGTTGGTGGATACGTAAAAAATACCTCAGCCGCGTTTACATTCGGCGAAGAAATTCCGTGATCACCTTTGGCAGTACTTGGAAAGTCTAGAAAAAAAGAATTCAACTGCGTTTCAAAACACTTATTTGCATGAGCTATTAAGGTCGTAGGTAAGGAGCGCAAATGGTCCTCCTTTTAAATTAACCAAAAACACGGACATACCGACAAAAATGCTGATATTTTCTATGAAAATGCATTAGTACGGTCGGAGCCTTGGAATCCCATTAATGTCTTGAGAAGAAAGTATTTGTTCCTTGATTTACATGTTAATGTACTTATTGTTATTTACAAATTCATTTCAAACCAATACCAAAAAAACTGTTGATATTTTAGTAAGGCCTTAAAATAACAAACTTAATTGCAAAAATCGTTTTGAAAAGATAAAGTAGTTAGAAAGATATCAAAAGTTGAAAAATATACCAATGGTGGAAAGGGCAGGTCTGCTGAAAACACAATCTGAGGGTTACATAATGAGAAATAAAGTTTGATTGATACTTTTTCTTACAATTATGCAAGAATGTTTGCAAGTACGTTGTCTTCACTCGCTAGAAGCAAAACGTAGCTTTGCAACAGAAGGCACGCAACAGCATGAAACACTGTTGCATCCCTGTATGTTGAATCCATCATTTCATAACATCATCTTATGACCTTTCATTTCATGATAATAAAATGGACAAAAACATGTTTTCTCAAGTAACGACAAAAGAAGCCCATTGAAGATAAAATAAGGTTTAAAAGTCACCTGGCGTGAAAAGACTAGAATTCTCCTCCTTAATGAAGGCAGTTTCAGTTACGTCATTGACTTTGCTTCTGCTTTTGTATTTGTTTTCTTCAACGTTCTTTTCAATTGCACAGTAGTTCTCCACAGTAGGCCCATTACTTTCAAAAGGGTGCGCATCTGTAACAACACCAGCTCTTTCTCTTGCCTGGGCCACAAAAATAATAGTTTCAAGCTTTTCAAGATACAGTCATAAAACGGATACAAATAATTTTCTCTTATCGGTTATTGTGATTACTTTACCCTTGGTAGGACAGCCTCATAAATTCGAGCACCGACATTCAAGCAGGGAGCGGGGAAGCTGGGAAGTGCGCTCGAACTTATGGTTACTCTAGACAATGAGACAAACAAAGTCTTCACTTGTACTAGTAATCCATCCAAGACTAACAAGCCAGATCATCAGCGAATTTTCAAAAGCCTTATGAAGAACTATGCATATAGGGAAGGCACTTCCAACATCATTACTTTTTATTCAATCCGGCAAAAATCTTCTACAATGCTCGCAACGTTGAAAAGCTCGAAATATTTGAGACCTGGAAAGACATATGACGTAATGCCATAAAATTGTTCTTGGTGGCATCAAAAATACAACAGTAGGTTTTTGTGACCTAATGGGCATTGCAATTAAAATGGCAGAGCCAATATCAGGATGAATTGAAGGTGAATACAGGTAAAAAGAGCGATGAAATTTTGGCAATGGAAACTGTAAATCCCGAAAAGAAAATTAGGTTTCTGTTTGTTACAGCCTCTAACACTCGATTACTTGAAAATATAAAAAAAACAGAAAACCATACATTAAGTGCCAAAAATTTCGGTGGGATTTATTTTCGGTGAAACAGAGCCACCGAAAATTAATCCCACCGAATTTTTTTGAAAACAAAATTTTTTCTTACCGAAATTATCAAACACTAGAAAAATCTCGTTATTTGTCGATGGGCTTTGAAAATGACGAAAAATTATTTCCTTGATGTTGTTTGAGTATTACTATTCATCCAATACATGTCCATCTTCAGCACATCAACAAATAATGAAATCCAGTTCATCTTTATTTTCTTCTCTTTCGCCCTTTATATACAAGAAATTACAGCTCTCTATGGGCTGAAATAATGCTTCTAATGGCTCTTCACAAATTCTTCCAATAATTTTTTTTGACGTTCCATGGCTTTCAATTTGGGCGCCTTAATTTCTAACTCACTATCGATTCTGTAAACGAACTGTTATCGCTTCCAATTTATTTCCCCCATAGGTTATAAAATATGAAATAGGAAAGACCTCCTTTAAATAAGAGTTCATAACATTCTTGCCTACTTTTCAGTTCCATTATTCGGCGACATTAAAGTATTCGATTTTTGTAACTTTTATTACTGCACTGAAGGTAATTTCATGTTGAAGATAGAAATAACTGACAGAAAGTGTTTCGTTTCTTTACTCACCAAAATTTTTCAATTTTTCACCGAGATTTGCACCGAAATGTCAAAAATATGACCGAAAGTTTTTTGACCGAAAATTAATCTACCGAAATTCTTGGCACATGTTTAACTGTAAGACATGCAATCATACCAATTTCGAAAGCTCGGTCCAGTCAGCTCTATACAGTAAAACGATTTCTCCAAACAACTAAAAAAATTAAGAAATTTCTATTAAACATTTTTAACACTGAATTCCAAAGGAAGTAATCATCAAAAAAGCAAACAAGTTCTTGAACTTTGCAGTGAAGATGTACCCAAAAAGGGGCAAAAAGAGTTCTTTTCGTGCCTCATTTGGATTTCAGAAGAAAAGAGCTGGAGTAAAATATCAAGAAAGATCAATAGTCACCAAGAAAACTACTTAAATATCACAGCTTGATTGGGTGATGACTAATACTCTATAACATGGAAACATTCCAAATTGTTATGTTTGGAAAGAAAATGATAAACATGATTGGCCTACACTGACCATAGACTAAAAATGAAAAGAAAAACTTAAGGATATGCAAATTATCGAGTCCGCCTTTATTTATTCAAGGTTCGATTATATCATTTTTAATGTTTATGGTTTATAATAAGGTGGCCTTAAAAGGTATTGCGCAGAGGTGTATATAGAACATACATGTTTACTCGGCTTCCGCGATGTATTCATTAAACGTGAACAAAACATGCTTACATAAAAAGAAGTCTGGGTCTAGTGTCCTTCATGTGCTTAAATACCACATCATTAAGGCTTGCTGTTTACTTCGACAAATATTATGCGGCATGGTAACCAATAACTTTTACTTCTGTGTAGTTATTGCTCTCGGTGGATCGTAAAAATAATCGAATAATAAAACGTTTGAGTTACTCGATTTTTTTAAAAAAAAACTGGATTTTGCCTCGGTTGTCCCTAGATATCAATTTTATCGCCTTTACCTATAAAATCAATTTAATCCAACAAAATATTGAAGGAAATGACTTAAACAACAGCCAAAAATAAAGTAACATCAATTTCAGAAGAATTTAATGAAATGAAGTACTTTTATCGGCAGCGTATTTCTAAAAATTCGCGAAGGTTCGAATTAGGAGAGGTTTTTTCCCAGAAAAATTATGTCATAAGAGTGTAAGAAGTTGTGGGATTCCAAACGGTTAAAAACATGGCATAAAATTGACCTTGTCCAAATTCGAAATGGATTAAACATAAAATTCATTGTATTTGATTTTATTTGATTGAGACGCAATGAATGTTGTTCAATAGGTCATTAAAAAATTGCTCTTACTTGGGACCACACTCCGGCCACTGCTCCTAACCAAAATCCTAAATATAAAACAATGCAAATTGAGAATATTCTGAAAACATAAATCTGTCGCAAGCATTTTATTTTTCAGCTTCTAAAGGCATCGATTCAAAACAAAAGAAGCTCGAATACCCAAATACGACGACCTCGTACTGATTTTGACAGGGGTTCGTCAACGGTCAGTTGTAAAAAATGGCCGCCAAAATCACATGAAACAACAGGTAAGGTATCAATGTCGCCATTTTATAAATACGAGCTACAATAATGATAATTTATACAATAATTTATAAATACGCTATTTTATAAATACGAGCTACAATAATGAGCGTCAAAGCAAAATGATAGCCAAATTGAATCAAATTTAAAAGCGACTTAGTAGTGATTGCTTGCAGGGCTTTTCAGTTCATTTACAGCTCCTTATTCAGTAGTATTTAGTCAAGAGCTGATATGGTCCTTAAGTGACTTGAAGATGCTAAAAGATAAGGTCTTACCAAGCACTCCAATGTTTGCCTTGAACATCAACAGAATATACAAGGGTATTCCAACACACATGTAGCCTACAAAATTTATCAATGCGCCGTACTTTTGATATCCAATACCACGAATTGCTCCGATACATATCGTCTAAAAGTTAACCAGCATTGCATACAATATAGAGAAAAAAGATAAAAGTGTACATGCATATAAAAATATACAACAAATAAGTGAAACATAGACAGATGCAGAACAGAACAGAACAGAACTAGAGCATAAGTTTCACTATCGATAAAATCGCAGCTTAAAACAGAATTTAAAAAAATGTTTAGTGAAGCACAGGAAAAAGTCTGGAAACAATTTTTCGGATACTATGTATTTTTCTTCTCAACATTCCTGAAGGGTTAAGGGGTCGAATCACCTGTAATCCTGTGTACTAATTTTGGCAATATATAATTCCTTGCAAGATCATAACCCTCCTTTACTCTTCTTTATAATACAAGTCTACAGATAGGCAAAACAGGGTACATATTGATATATACGAAATCTAAAATCCCCATCGAACACCTTATTGCTTAGGCGTTCTTTTTAAAAAATTTACCGCTACCGGTAAAAAAACCGAAACGCTACCCCCTCCCCTTAAAACAGTGTTGGTTTGAGAACACCCCTTTCCTTCATCAATGTGTGAAATCCATTAGACCGATCCAGCAACATTGCAGAAACCAACATTGTTCAGAACGGGAAAGGGAAGCAATAGAAAATGCTCAAATGTTTAGAGCAATGTACAAGGATTGTAGCTTAAAGGAACAACATAAAAGTACCTGCAATCCATCAAAAATTTGATGTGATGCTGCTAAAACGATAACGTCTGATACCATCTCTATCACAGCTCTGTGGGGGAAAAGATCTACGTCATTAGTACCCAAAAATTTTAATTTACACGAGAAAAACAATGATGGAAGAATAGATGATATCCTAGAGTAATATCATTAGTACTTCTTTATAAATACATCGCATCAAAATCAGACTCAAACGCGAAAAGGGGGAGGTGCTTATTCAGGGGAGGGATGCTTAATCAAATCTCTATCTTTTTCAAAGGGGAGGGCTTAATTGACACGCAAAAATTATTTTCTAAATAACAAGATTTTAAACCTTAAAAAAATAGAAAATAAGTAAACTAGAGGAAAAAGCATTTTAATAGGTGCTCTAAAACGAAAACACCTTGTAATCAATTCGGCTTCATAATGGGGAAGGGGTGGAAGAAATATCTAAAAATAGATGGTCAAGATTCAAGAAAGGGCTTGACTATACCACTAAGGTTTACACCAACAGATAATCATAATGTGATCAAAACAGAAAAGAATTATGCAACAGGAATACTCAAGGGCAAAATGGATGACGAACCGATCACTTGTAAATAAATAGCCAATAACATCTTTGGTTGCAGCGACTATCAAAACAATTGACACTGTAAATGCCGCTAGAACCAAAAAAGAATAACTACATAAATATATACAGGAAAAGAGCTTATACAAGCGCGTTTAAAAAGTTTGGCTGAAACATATCTATAAAAACCAGCCTTGAAGTCGTAAACTTTTAAGATATAACACCACTACGGTAAACCTAACACGTGGTAAATATCACCACTACGGAAAACCTAACAATCCAACCATCCTCATAACATAAACAAAAATCTGCCAGCAGCAATCTGCAGACGCATATCTGACACATCATACGATAAAGAGATCTTTCACCAAGCTATATCTAAACATAACGAAGCACTTAAATCTAGATGAGCTGCAATACGTCAACGAGCCCCCTAAAGCTAAAAAAAGCGTCATTGACCCTTCCTTACGCAATACTACACGGTTTTAATATTAGAAACAAAACTCATCCCCAAAGAGAACAGCCACCTCGGTCTTGCCGATCTAAAAGTACAACTAAAACCTACGATCCTGCTATCGGGCAGCATATATCAAAAAACCCAGTTTGTGAAAAAAAACTATAATGGCGACATGTTTCAGATTATTGGTAAAGCCCGATCGTCGTTCCATCTAGCAGTTTTGGAATCTATCTACATAAGCGCGAAAAACCCGCTACTGTGTAGACAAAAAGGAGTTCGTTTTCACCTTAGGACTCCATTGGTAACATTCTAATAGGCAAGCGGCACTGATTGGTCAACCTCTACAGTCATGTGCTCGCGTTTCTGATTGGCCTATTTCGATCCACAAGTGGGTATATATATTTCCTAGCGTAGAGTTTTCGATCTATGTTCTGACGTTTAAAACTCTAAAGAGTGTCAGACAAAAAGCTTTAGTTTACTCAAATGTTTGCTTTTTTCAAAGCCATTTTCAAGTTTTGTACCACCAAAAGATAGTTCTTTATATGTTTTATACTTGTTTCAATCCTGTGTAAAAGTTTCTCAAGTGGAATCATGGTCCCTATATAAAGTTCTCAGTGCACGTTTGTGGGTCCTATAAAATTCAATATTTGCGGCTTTGCTACAAAATAGCCAGACGCCAGACCCAAAATAGTCAGATTACATTCTGACGCTGTAAATCAAAAGTGTTTCGTTATTCGAGTATTTCATCGGTCAAGCTTCATAAACGACCTCTCTTTATTTTGACGTAATGTTAGGGGCGTACTGTCGTGCATTAAAAATTAAAAAGATCATTATGAGTATGATCGATCGATCGTGTCAGAAAATTTGAACTATTTGTCACGCTGTCGTGTCATGCAATCGTGTCATTGCACTAAGGCATAAAATATTAATATGAACAAGGAAGGAAAAGCTTTATCCTCATTTTAAAGAAACGAATCTTAAATTTGACGATGATTAAAACGTTTCTGCAACCAAAATACGAATGTTTAAACCCTGAAAAATGATAAGATCACTGCATACCTGACACTAAAAAACCAGCTTTCACAGAATGCTTCGCATATTGAGGAAGCCCTGCTCCTAGAAAGCTACCAACTCTGACAGCGATGCCAATTGCGATACCAAAAGATACCTGAGGGAAAATGACAGAACCCACAATCAAATGGATTAATAATAAATTCTTATTCAGGAAAAAGTACAGTCAATCTTTTGGTGGTACAAAACTTGAAAATGGCTCTGAAAAAAGCAAGCATTTGAGTAAACTAAAGCTTTTAAGCCTACCAGATTTGAAGCCTTTTAAGCTTATAAGATAAGATATATTTTACTCAAATGTTTGTATTTTTCAAAGCCATTTAAAAAAGTGCAGTATCAACAAGAGATGCGAATCAAACCAACATTTCAAGGTTAAAACTCCATAAGGCAATTTTGCAAGAGACCATGCATAGTGACTTTTTCAATGGAAAACATCGAGAGACAGAAGATAACCTGAACACAAAAATCACAACGTTGACAAAGAGAGTTAACACTCTTATAAGAAAAGATAATATAGTTCATAGAAAGGAATAAGAAAAGAAGGCAAAGAAAAAATAGATAATTAAGTGACAACTAAGATGATATGAATTCGAGAAATTAACAATGATAAGATATTTAACAATGGTTCGATACTATACAATAATTTGATATAAAAATAGACAGATTCACAGGTTAAAGGCAATGGACAAATACTGAAGTGGGTTAAGTCATCTGCCAATCAAAATTGGCCAATCAATAAGCGTAGTATTACCCACACGTTCATTCATTGGCCAATAAATGATTGATAGGTGGCTCACGCCCCCTTTTTTACGGGATACTTCAATATTTACACAAGTAGCCTTGATATACAATACAGTAAAAACCACTGAGGTTTTGCTAACATTTTTATTGTTTAGCAGGTCCTTCATTCTTCTCAGGGCTGTACTGCACAAACTAGTTGCTTTGATTTTCACAAACACTATTCGCTGGGTTTGTGCTATCATATGCTTTCAAAATGAAGTTGATTGAAGCTCGAAAACGAGCAGAAATACCTCTCTCCTTTACTTACAAAATATATAGATCCGGCGATGTATAATGACACAACCATAGCTGCTTGCTCCACGTTTCCAATAATACCTAGGATATATGTTGCAAATTTTAAAAGATCGCAAATTGTTTTCACAAAATGGCAGCAATCAACTTGATTGATAACCAGACCGGTGGAGATATGGTAAACATGATTGATATGATATGATATGATATGATATGATATGATATGATATGATATTATATGATACGATTGATATGATATAATATGATTGATATGATATATGATATAGTTATGGTATATAAAATGATATGATATTATATGATATCAAGAAAGAAGAGATAAGTGAAGAAAATAGGTACCCATTAAAATGATGGCCAGTTCGTAAACAATCCATTCCATTAACGTCATGCTGGTTGCTGGAATAGCAAGAGAAAAAAAATCCGTCCATTGAGATAAGCACTCTCTTGACCAACCTGAAAGATTCGAAGAGGACTGTTTTCAAAAGAAAGAAAGAAAAAACTATGAAAAAATCTCAAACTTGCGAGTTAAAGGAACAGGCTTTGTAAGTTTGTTATACTATGCAATATTCTATTTCATAGGTAACATGGCACATCGATGGGCATCTAAAAGAAACTTTGACTGATTCACATGTTAGGTCTCAATATGCCTGGCAATCTAGTCTTGTTTTCATCTAATGAACTGTTGAAATGCGTATGGAGGGTCCTCGCTCCTAGTGAATTTTTTTCCATTTCAAAAACGTCAGTAACAGCTCTGATAAAAACGGTCTAAGGCAAAAAAAATCAGGAATGCCCCAAAATTTTCACAACTGTACCAAACATACGCCCTTCACCATTGTACACTTGTCACTAGTTCCGATCAACTTTGCCTTATGCTATGGTGTGTACCGTGAAACAAGGGAAAATTCTCAATGCATGCCATAAATGCCAATAACAATTCTCTTGATTAATGTGGTGATGGTGGTGATTCACAGATAAATTGGTTGATATAGTAATCAATTCATGGCTTTGATGGAAGATGATATTGACGCGAGGAGGAAGATGAAAATGATGATGATGATAATGAACAGGTAAATGGTTACTGGAACATAATATTATTGTATTGTAAAAGGCAACATACCATACCAGGTTTTTTCGTGAATTTTTTTCACGTAAATAAAGACGAGATTGAAGACACAAAAAGAAAAATATGACAAATCCAAAGCAAGCGCGGCACCCCTGAAAAGTAGAAAATTTACCCTTAGCTTTATGGGCGATAATTCTAATACATACAACAAAATTATCTGATAATGCTCCAAAAGGAGTCATTAAAATGCGATATATATACTAGACAGTTGATCAGACCATACCCAATTTAAAAAAATGGCAGATTATTAAGCATGGAAGATGTTCTGTCCTTGAAATTCAAGATCGAGTGGAAATTGAAAAAAAATTTCATTGAAAGTGTTATGCTTAAAAAGTGTAAAAATAATATTCTGCAAAAAAAATACAACATTTGGGAAATAATGCAAGTATTTGAACAAGATGTCACTACTTAATATTATTGTCCGGAAGTTGGAAGAGGTATTAGAAACATAGAACTATGTTAAGTTAAACTCCACAAGAAAAGAAAGGAAAATATTCTAAATTGGGCTACTACAGCATAAGAATCTCCTTGAAACCTTCAATTACTCAAAGTTACAAATCCAATCCAGGTGCTTGTGTGAAATTATTTCGTGTGAAATATACCCCTAGCATATTAAGGTTTTTCTCTCGCGTAAAGGTTCCCAAGAAGAAATTATTCTTTGCCACCATGCTTTGGTTCACTGAATCTGTCGATGCACCATTACATTAAGTTGTCTCTATACTTGATGGGGTCAAGAAAGATATTCACCAACATATATTCAAACGGTTGTTAAACTATTTATCATCTATTGAAAGAAATCAAAGAAACTCTGTCACAGAGGGAGGAAAAAATAGTAAGAGGCAAGGCACAAACAAGTCTAGTTTATGGTAATAGAAAGATACATAAGATTCGAATTAAGGGGGCAAACCTAACACTGTGCATGGTTTTGGGTGCTAAATATTGTCAGTGCATCTATAGGTTTAAAAAATGTTTTTAGAAGCAACCCCAAGCAACGATGAAATTAAATTAGCGAAAATACGGTAACAGCTGGGTGGTGAATGCTTGCAGCCAAAGAGGTAGTACTTGATCACTGTACACAAAGCTTATATTATTCTAAAATGTTAAAAAATTATAAATCTCTTACCATATTCCAAAATCAAATTCATAGACAAAGACGTAACAAAAGACTCCATTGATAACAAAAGCAAGAAGTGAGCCAATCACAGTTGGGTAAACAATGTTCTGTAACCAAACATCACAAAAGTTACCACATTTAGTATGACAATTCCCAAAATGGATAACATTTATAAAGGAAACACTAGGACTTCGACATGAAGATTTTTGCAAGATTCTAGCCGAGTGTTATAAGACGATGTGTCTATGACTTCAATGTAACAATCCGATAATATTCTTACTTTATGCCAGGCCACTTGCATATTTATTTGATACGTTAGGCGAAGAGCCACTAACCCCTGACCACCTGATTTTTTGGAAGATAATTTTCTTTTTTGTTGATGATATTTGTGGTAAGGTGGTTGAATTGAATCCTGTAAAAGGTTTTTTATTACGAAAATTATTCATTGAAGTAGGTAGCACATTTGCAGATTTGGGTGGTCAACCAGCTTTGTTTATTGGAGGAAGAACACTAATAAAGGTGGCGAGATTGGTTATGGTGCAAGGATGTTTTAACATTGGATAGTGGAAAAGGCAAAAGTAGCTAGTAGATTTGATAAGGGGGAAAGTGGAGTTTGTTCAAGGACAGGTTGTGAATGTAAAGGTAGCTCATTATTTAAATCGACATAAGATTGCATCCTGGAGCTTTGTATCTAAAATGGTAGAATGAGAATGAGTGGATTTGGCGAGAAGGTGAGCAAACCGCCGGCGCTGGTGAGTTGATCTATTGGAAGTATGTGATGCTATGTTTTATAAGTTATGCCATATGGTGATGTTCAGTTTTGAAAGATATCTTGGTCTGTTTTTCTACCCCTTTGGCCTATTATTAGAGGCAGCTCAGTAAAAAATTAACACAAAAACATTTATTGACGAATCGTTTTTGTTATCTTTATCTATACAACTCAATGTGATGTTATGAGATGTTTAAAAAGGACGTTTTAGGAGGATCTAAAGATATATTCATGTAAGTATGGATAATTTATTATCAA